ATAACAATAACAAAAAACACCTAACAACATTAAAGAGAAATAGTATATTATAGGCAATAGTAGATATGACCCTTTATCATAGCACCTTCTCCAGCCTCTCTGTCCTGCAAAAACCGGGACGGGTGGCAACACGACTCCAGCAGCAGCAGCAGCAGTGTGTCCTACAAATGAGAGTGCGCTTGCACAACCCGACTCAGAATATGAATACTGCAGGAATCCGATGAGCCATGAAGCTCTTTTTCACCGATGTCCAGTGGGGGCACGTGGTAAGAACGTCACAACTGTAGTGACGTCAATGGAGTCACGATGTCGTTGAGCGCCAGCTGCTGTCACAAGAGTGGAATTGTGCGTCTGGAGCCTCTCTCTGGCACCAGAGTTGGTATGGGGCCGTCCATAAATGACGTGACGCGATTATTGACGATTTTTGACTCCCCCCCTCCCATCGTCACACGGCGTCACAAAAAGTCAGACCCCCCCCTCAAATACGACGTCACAAAGCATGCTTCAAATCGCTTTAAACTATTGTCATTGTAGTGCGTATGTAATGTGGCGCTGCACTCTGATGTTGTAGGAGAAAACATTTATTAAAACGTCTATTTAATTAAGTAGAACGTGTCGTCTGTATTTATTTAAAATTGCGCATTTTGATATGACGTCACATTTCTCAACCCCCCCCCCCCCCCTCGTCACACATCGTCACAAATTTCTGACCCCCCCTAGGTGCGTGACGTCATTTATGGACGGCCCCTATGGCATGGACGTGGGACCTAGGGGGGATAGTTCTGGTGACGGTCAGAGAGAGGGCAAGTGAGGACGTGACAGTCTGGGTGAACCCGGGAGGGCACGTGACCGGGACAGGGTAGCGAGGGAGGGCAAAAGGGTGTTCTTGAGGGACACGTGATGCTCGGTCGAGAACCTTCTGGTGAGACCCAGAAGGGGGTGTGGCCTAAGGCGGAGCGAGGCCGAAGGCGGAGCGAGGCCACGCCTCTCGGGAGCATGAAGGGGAGGTCCCGAGAGCAATCGCGGCTCTCTGTTTGAATGGAACCCGTCGGTGTTACGTCTCTTCCATCCTGGGTCCTCGGTCTTCGGTCTTTACGCTCGGCTTCGTGGGTCAGGCAGTGAGTTACTGACTGACCCGGTTACGTAGTTACCCCATTGCTGTCTTGTTAAGCAAGTGTACGTGTATGCAGTTACCCTGTTGGGGTGTTATACTACACGTGTTGCCTCCAAGTTCTAGTGTGTGTCTCCGTGGAACCCGCTACACAACAACAACAAACAGTACAAAAACACGACGGTAGTGCAAAGTACAAGAGAGGTAAACAAATCATACAAACACAAACAAATACAACACTAAATCATCCGCCTCCTACCAGGCAACCCACTGAGGTATTAACTTATTTTTCAAAGCGACCTGGCTACAGATGACAGCTAGACGAAGCGACGTCATCATTTGGGCATTCATAGTGGCCAAATAATCTAAATAGCGCGCAACGAACATTTCTTAATTGTGGAGGACACAAAAAAATATAAAAAAAACGGAGGATCCGGAGGGAACAAAAAATCGACTCCAGTAGCCGCGGTGACCGCAGTAGCAGCGCGTTCTACAAACGAGAGTGCGCGTGCGATGTGATCCACGGGCGTATTGCAGCGGAGTGTTTGCTTATCCGCCTTGCTCGCTCGCTGCACCGCTGTTTGCTCATTGCACATTGCCCGTAGATTGAATTTGATCGCTCGGGGTTTGATTCGATCAAAGGAAGGTCCCCCACACTTTCAATTCCCAGTTTCCGCCCGATAAACACACCGCGCCGAAGATGACAACGGGGTCCGCTGAAACACCACCACCACCATCAGCACCACCAACACCACCACCATCAGCACCACCAACAACAAAAAAACCTGTCGCGTTGTCGGATGAGTTTGAGTTCGATTGGGGGCCCCTCCTGTGCAGCGTGCGTAGTCTCCGTGAGCTTTGCCAAGTGAGAGGTTCATCTTCTTGGTTCTTTCGGTAAAGTCACGTAAAAGGGAAGTAATAAAATAATAAAAATAAAACATAACAAAATAATTAATTATTTCATTTTATTATAAATAATTATTTTTTATTATGTTTTATTTTTATTATTATTATAAATAATTATTTTATTTTATTATGTTTTATTTTTATTATTTTATTACTTCCCTTCTACGCGACTTTACCGAAAGAACCAAGAAGATGAAACTGGGAATCCCTGCAGTCACGAAAGCTTTAAATCGAAAGTGAGAGGTTGTCGGGACTTGATCAGTTGGCGTGCTTGTCTGTATGCATGTAGAACTTCTTTCATACCGTATGTAGCCAATCGCGGAGGTTTAATGGGGTCCCCCCCTCCCCTGTATTACACCCCCTCCCCAACCCCTCTTTGTATCCCCGTGCCTGGGACTCAGTACAGTCTGCAAGGGCCGGGGATCTCCACTGCTCATTGTATGGAGATCGCGACGTGCGTGTGTGATACGGGGTTCGGTGGTGTAGTGGGTAGCGGTCACCCGGGTTCGATTCCCGCTCACGGCCAACACCAGTGACGATAATCTGAACCGGTCCTGGGCCTCCCGTAGGCCGATTCAGCCTCAAATGAGTACCTGGGGCGGTGTTTAAGCATCGCCACTGGGGAGACAAAGGCGGTTGGGCGTGGTACTAGCTTTGATGCGTCTAAGCCACTGCGCCAGCCAAGTTATTGGGCGAGGCAGTACAGAAAATAGGTTTCTGACCTCTATTCATTGAGTTGGGTAGATTATAGAAGTGTACACGTAGGAGTTGTCTTCGGCAAATTGTTACTCCCGCCACGTACAAATAATACTTATTCGTATAAGTCTCCCAACGAATGTGCACGTGCACTGCTCGATAAAGGCTTCTCCCTGCTCTGTCACTCGAGGGAATGGTTTGACCATACTTCGCCACGGTGGTCTGTGCTGGCTTGTGAAGTGGGGGGGGGGGGGGGGATGGAGTAGGGGGCCAGGATCCTGGGCAGGTATCGAACTCGGGTCGCTGGATTCACAGTGCAGTGTCCAAAGCAGTAACAGCGCTGATTGTGTTTTTTTCCAAATGTTATTGTTCTTGTCTGAGCGATATGAACCCAGAACACGTATGTTTGTCGCCGTATAATAAATGATTAAAATAAACAATTATACGCGACACAAACACAACTTAACACGTGCGCCTCACAACTATTTTTTTGGTTTAAATATAAATCAAATCAAACAATCGTTCGATTCCTAATTAACTTTCGTGCAGCTGAGCCATAAGGTAAAGGGTAAGGCCCTGCAATTGCTCGCTCGCGCCACTGCCGCCAGACAATCCTCCACTCGAGGCGTCTCCAGAGAGCTCCCGCGGTGTTGCGGCCTCCACCCCCTCCCTCCACGCTCGGCCAGGCATCTCGTACGAGGGCGGCAGTACCCACACTTTACCCCACCACCACATCGCCACGTGGCCCATCGACGAGCCGCGAATCGCGTGGTCATTCACAACTGCTGGGCGGACAGCGCTTTGAAAAGGGTGACTGGGTGGGCGGAGGCTATGGGATGTGAGAAGCGTGCATCGTTGCTCTCAACTGCCGCGCCTGGAGATTGAATGTGAACCGGACGACCTCTGGGGTCTGATGTGCCGCCAAACATCGCAACCGCTGCGGAACGGCCTGTGTAGATGAAACAATTTTAATCACGGATAACGCTATTATCTCTCTTTTTTTATTGTCTTACAAAAGCCATCGAGAGAGCGAGCGCATCAGCAAGTGCAATAAAAAAACCCATGCAGAATTCTCACGCAAAATTAAACAGGCTCTCAAATAGCCAGAGCAAGCAGTAATACTAAAGGGAATTTGATATTACGTGTATTTAGTATTTACAGAAAATCTGTTTGCCGTGGGATGATACGCTGAGGGTAATAAGCTTCGAAAATGTAATCTGGGCAAATTTGTTGTTGTTGCGCCTACAAATGACTTTTTTCTTTATCGTGCTGCAGCCAGACTGCTAAGAACCCTCTTTGTTTTGGTGAATGTCTTTTTTATACATCTTGTAACGGCGCCTTATGTGTGTTTTTTTGTTTTGGGTTTTTGTTGACGTGTGGGCTATGATTAGATATCTTGAAACAACATCGGCCTCTGCGAGAGATTTTAAGAGCCTTCAAGAGACATGGATGTTCTTTCGGTAAAGTCACGTAGAAGGGAAATCATAAAATAATAAAAATTCATTATACAATTCTCACGACGTTTCGATTGCAACACAAGCAGTCCCGAAAACTTTAAATGGAAAAAAAAAACATGGATGTGTTTTGTTTCCGTCTCATATTGTTTTATTACTTTAATGAAGCTGCCATCTTTCTAGTTTCTAAGTTTTTTTTAACAAAATTAGCTTTGAGAAAGATATTTTCAAACATATAATGGGTGGGTTTGGGGGGGGGGGGGATTGGCGCAGTAGTTAGCGCACTGAGCTATGAATTCGGCCACCTGAGTTCGATTACCGGCCACGGCGAACACCAGTGGCGAGTAATATCTGAAGCGTTCATGGGCAGCCCTTTCACCAACCTGTACTGATCAGCGTAGTGAAGTTTGGTCAAACATCCCACGTTCATGAACAGCATGGGGAGGCCTTCATCTAACATGTGGATCAACGAAGAGCCATACACTATGAAACTACGAAATATTGTGGTTGTTGATGATGATGAATCTGAGTTTTTGTAATTAATAAAAGAACGTTCTGCTGCTCTACACAACAACCATGGGAACGATGACAAAGATGATGATGGTGAACCTTGTTGATGACGATGATGGTGAACTTTGTTGATGACGATGATGACAATGAACCTTGTTGATGATGATGATGGCGATGATGACGGTGAACCTTGTTGATGATGACGGTGAACCTTGTTGATGATGACGGTGAACCTTGCCGGAGCACCGCTCCGTCAGCATCAAAGCGACGGCATCATCGTTTCGCCCACCGCCGAATCATCTCCCGAATCATCGCCGCCCTACCTTGGGGTCGTGAATCCCCGTGAGCTCGTCGCGTGACCTCCCTCCCACCAACATCGCGGCCAGGTTGGCCGTGTAGATGCAGAAGCACAGGAGGCAGAACATTGCCCAGAGGCCCACGAGGAAGCGGCTGGACCAGCACCGCGGGGCCCCCCTCGCCACGTTGCGGCCAAACAGCACCGAGTAGCAGAGGCCTGAGGGCGGCCGCCAGCGAGAAGGAGCCCCGGGCCTTGGCCGGCGTCCCCGCCGCGGCCGCCGCCGAGCCCGAGATGCCGCCCGGCGCCTCGCTGTCGGCGCGCGGAGTCCTGCACTCGAAGAGCGTGAGGAAGAGCGCGATGGCGTGCAGCGCGACGAAGACGCCCACCCACACGGTCCAGTGGAGCGGCAGCGCGAAGGCCCCCAGCGGGTGGCGCCTCTCCTGCCGCCGCGCCACCGCGATGGAGAGGCTGCTGGAGAGGAACGGCGCCGTGAACTCGAGGGGCGGCGCGGCGCGCGGCCCCCCGGCGCCCAGCGGCGTCACCGCCAGGTCGGCCGCGCCGCTCGACAGCTCGCCCAGCGGCCACGTCCAGCGGGCCTTGCCCCGATCGTCCACCACCACCGCCTCCTCCTCGTCAACGTCGTCGCCGCCGCCTACGTACAGGTCGAGGTCGAACGAGCGCAGGTCGTGGGACAGCTTGTCCAGGAGGTCGACGGCGTAGCCCGAGCAGCAGCGGGCGCGGTAACGACCCTCGCCGCGGCCGGGGCGGCCGTCGCCCGCAGGCGTCGCGACGCTGCCGTTGCCCGAGCGGAGCTCGTGGAACGCGGCCTCCAGCGACTCGGCGGGGGTGGCCGCCACCGCCGCCGCCCCCTCGCCGGCGACGGCCTCGAGGCAGGGGCGTCCCGTCGCGCACCGCCCCTCGTCGGCGGCGTCGGCGGTGGAGACGAGCGGCGGGTGGGCGAGCGCGGCCACGCGCAGGCGGGGCCGGGCGGGGCCCCCCGGGCCCTTGCGAGCATGCTCCCTCGTGTCCGGCCACAGGCTCGGCTCGATGGTGATCTCGGAGGAGTCCCACGAGCCGACCTTGGTCCACGTGGGAATGCCCAACAGGTCGTGCTGGAGGTGCCAGATGTTGTGGCGCGCCGTCGCGGTGATCCTCGACGCGTTCTGCACTTCGATCCACCCCGAGATGCCCTCGAAGCTCGTGTTGGTGATGAACCTGTAACGGTGGAGGTCGCGGGGTGGAGGGTTGGGAGAGGGGATGGTGGTGAGGGGTTGGTCAAGAGCAGGGGTCCTCAAACTTTTTAAACAGGGGGCCAGTTCACTGTCCCTCAGACCGTTGGAGGGCCGGACTATAGTTAAAAAAAACTATGAACAAATTCATATGCACACTGCATATATCTTATTTTGAAGTGAAGAAACAAAACGAGAACAAATACAATATTTAAAATGAAGAACAAGTAAAGTTAAATCAACAAACTTGCCAGTATTTCAATGGGAACTATGGGCCTGCTTTTGGCTAATGAGATGGTCAATGTCCGGTTCCATATTTGTCACTGCTAGTCGTAACAAGTGATGCAAGTGTGCATCCGTTAGTCTAGATCTGGTTGGAGATTTCAAATGTTTCATTCTGGAAAAAGTCTGTTCACAGACATAAGTGCTGCCAAAGATAGTTGCCATTTTGAGTGCATGGTTCCTGAGATGAGGATATGTCTCAGAGGGGAGAGATGCATAGAAATTATGAAGGCTGCTTGACTTGAATGCATCTTTCAGAGAGTCACAATTCTGCAGTTCAGCCAGTTCCATTTGGTAAATTGTATCCACATTTTCAATGTCAATAGAAAATGGGTTACGGAAAAGCTGTATGTCCTGTTCATGGAGATGAAGCTCTTTAAATCTAAATTGGAACTCCTTTTTCAATTTTTCCAGTGAATCCACACATGTTTTGTTTGGGAATGCAACCAATGGTTTTTCCGCTAACAGATTTTGAGTTGTGGGCAGATAGCAGACGTTTTCCTTCTTCACTTGTTTGATGAGGAGGCCTAATTTTACTTCAAATGCTTTGACATGTGATTGCATATCACAGATTAGCTTCCCCTTTCCTTGAAGTTGCACATTGAAACTGTTGAGTAGCTCTGTTACATCTGTCAAAAAGGCAAGGTGCCATTTCCATTCTGCATCATTGAGTTCTGGTACTTCTTTGTTTTTTGAAAGCAGAAAAGCTGTAATCTATGGAAGTAAGTCATAGAAACGTTTCAAACCTCTCCCTCGACTCAGCCAACTGACTCCTGTGTGGTACAGAACATCTTCATAGTCAACATTTAGCTCAGACAGAAATTCCTAAAATTGTCTGTGGTTTAGTGCATGAGCTCTAATGAAGTTAACACAAGATACCACAATTTTCATAACAGAGTCCCACTTCAGTGATTTACTACACAGCGCTTGTTGGTGGATGAGGCAGTGTATGGCTATTGGATGAGAATGGTTATGCTTGTCCATCTCTTGGTTAATGCGAGCAATTACTCCTTTCTTAGATCCCACCATGCTAGGAGCACCATCAGTTGTCACACTGGCTAGTTTAGCCCAGTTCAGCTCCAAAACATTCACAGTTTGGCAAACCTTTTCATAGATATCCTCTCCTGTAGTTGTTCCTTTGATGCTTTGCAGTGCAGCAAGCTCTTCTGTGACTTCGAAATAGTCATTCGTCCCACGAATAAAAATTATAAGTTGTGCAGAATCACGAACATCATTGCTTTCGTCGAGTGCCAAGGAAAAATAGGAAAGTTTTTTTGTGGAGTTTTGCAAATGCTGATGCAAATTGTCTCCCATTTCTTCAATCCTCCGTGTAATTGTAGGTCCTGAAAGACTCACTGTACTAAATAAATCGACCTTCTCTGGACACATCTCTTTGGCAACAGAAAGAAGGCATTCTTTAACAAATTCTCCCTCCACGAATGGTCTGACAGTGCACGCTATTAGCTTGGCAACTTGAAAACTTGCTCGCAGTAATGAAATATTTAGCTGCTTCTGCTTCACAAAAGTATTTTGCTGAGTTGTTAATGTATTTTTCAGTTTTAATATTTTATCTTTTCTCCCTTCTCCGACCAAACAATCATATTTATCTTTATGTTGAGTTTCATAGTGTCGACGTAAATTGTATTCTTTGAACACAGACACTATATTCTGGCATATCAGACACACAGCTCTTTCCTTGTACTGCATGAAAAAGTAATCATAAGTCCACTGTTCTTTGAATATCCTACACTCCGAGTCAATTTTTCTCTTTCTTGACATCATTAGTTTCCTAAGGAGTCAAAATTGCTATTAGTAAAATACCAATATATATACAGCGCTACAAAAACAATATACCAGCAATAACTTTGCCCACACAGAGACATACAGACTGCACTGCCCATCAATGCAGTCTGATTGGGAGAACTCCGCTTTTACCCCAGGCTCACACAGGTGCGGGTGCCATTAAAAAGTTAATTGCACCTGCAGTTTTGTTCACAGATTCGCAGTGCGATCTGCGAACTCGCATAGGAATCTGATCGCATGGGGGAGAAGACCCATGCGATCCGATTCCACTGCAGGAAAAAATAAGGTACATGTCCCTTTTTTCTTCCGAATCTAATGCAAGTTCAGCCATACAAGCAAATGGCTGAACTCGCACTGCTCAGAAATCGCAACAGTATGAACCGGGGCTTACACAACATACAACATATAACCTCATACAACTGAATAGCAATCAGAATATAAATGCACTTACTGTCATTTAAATTGGGTTTCCTACTCCTCGGCTGTCTGTCACTGACCAGCACGGGAAAACAGCAGGCAGCCCCTCCAGAGATCAGAGATCACTCTGTTATTACCCCTCTATCATTTACTCAGCGGTTCGTGTGCTGGGGATCTACATCCCCAGCACACAGGAATATCACTGGGAGTGGAGCCGAGGGGCAAGTGAGGGAGCTGAGGGAGGGAGAGCCAGTCAAGCGCAGCCAGGGGAGGGCTGGCAGCCTTAGGCCTGGGGGGCAAGTCCAGTCAATTGGCCCATTGAACCATTCACCAGCGCAGCCCAATGAGTGCCCACCGCCGCAGCTCAATCAGTACCCACCGCCGCAGCTCAATCAGTGCTCGCCACCGCAGCCCAATCAGTGCTCGCCACCGCAGCCCAATTAGTGCTCACAAGCGCAGCCCAATTAGTGACCATCGGCCGGATAAATGTCCTCAGCGGGCCGCATGTGGCCCGCGGGCCGTAGTTTGAGGACCCCTGGTCAAGAGGGTCATCGTGTGGAGTGCTGTTGGCTGTTAACACCAAGCGGCGTTCATCTCGCTAATGAAATGGGTGGCAACAAATATTCGAATGTTCGTCGACGGAGTGTTTATTGTCGCTCCGTTCGATGATGACGATGATGAGTGGGTGGAAATTGCCGAGCGCGACGATCACTTGGGCCGCTGCCCACCACTGACCGTAGCGCGACTGACCGTTACGAGGCGATCCTGGCGAGTCTCAACGGAGACGAACGCCAATAGTGCACTGAGGAAGCTTAGATTAAACATTTGTTTTACCCGAGTTCACTTATAACAGCGGACCTCAGCATAACATCGGCAGAGAATTCCACTGCAACCAACAATAATCAAGAGCGGACTTCATCTCTGGCTCTTTTGTCGCCTCGAGTGAGACGATAACCGAAGGAAATCCGCAGACTAAGACCTTTAAAATTCCACCGGGGTCTCGTCGACCAACCGTGTTCATCACACCTCCAATTAGCACGGTTGTTCATATACGGTGCGAAAGAAGTTGAACAGACATACGTAAAAATATACTAATATGTGTTTTCCCCTTTTTTCTGGCAACAAAACTGATACCTTTTTGCAAGGAATCATGCTTACATTAACCACAATATTTGCAGTCAAATGCAAACAAAAAACAATACTCTGATAATTTATGCATTGTCTTTGAAACTGATTGGTCCACACCAGAAACAGCTTTCTTTGGAGCCTCGTCTCATATGGTGTTCGACCAGATGACGCCAAAATACACAAAAAACACACCTACTAACTTAACACTGAATGCCCACACAGCTCACTGTCACTTAAATACCACGTTTGTTGTGCTGTGAAAACCCGAGCTGTCAGACAGGTTATCCCTTCGGCTGTCACTGCATCGTGGGTCTTCAGTTTAACACTTAGTAGGCTTTCACGAGCAATATTATTCATAATAAAGGTTTTCATGGGTTAGATCGCGTTAATGTAAATGTGTCGTTAACCCATCACCAGCAAATCTGTAAGGTTTGTCACATAAATACAACACGCCAGTTGCTTCAGCACACCGGTGTGTTGGAGAGTCATTATGCTCGTTGTGGGTTTTACTCTCCAACACACCTGGCGTGCTGATCTAACCCCTAAAAGCTTCATTATGAATCGTTAGTCTTGGCCGTCGGCTGCCATCCCCTCTCGAGAGGTTTCTTTCGCAAGCTCACAATTGAGATCGTACTCGAATAATATTCTTAATTCTCGTGTATTAACCAGTGCCGGATTATCCTCGTAGCAAAAGTATCTACATATTCTACGGGCCCCGCACTTTCAAGGGCCCCGTGCTAAATGATTTCAAGCTATCAATTCCGCTTCAGTGATTCTGCACTTGCTATATTACTATAGTACTATACTGTCTTCAACTTTTATGATCGACTGGGTGTTTAAGATTATCGATTTGTCGTATTATCTGGCTGTATAGCAAATGAAAAAAAACGATGACTTGAATCAGTTTTTCAATATGTATGTGTGTTATTTATTTATTTAGGGCCCCATTAATACATATGCTACAGGCCCCGCACTAGCTTAATCCGGCACTGGTATTAACTCCACCTCTTCCAGCATTGACATTGGAAAGCATATTAATGGAGTGGTGGGGGGGTTGCAGGTGGTAACATTATTATAATGAGGTATAACACTTTGTTAATTAACTTCTGGATGAAGTCAAGGCAGTTGTTTGACCATACCTCACTGTGCAGGTTAGTGTGGATTGATACAAGCAGGGGCACAGGCCCAGTTGAAATAACAACCATGTTAGTCACTATGTAACACGATTTTTGTACTAAGTATTATTTTCTAATTGCTTATGCCTCAAAAGTATAGAAAATGGCTATTATTGCCGACAACATTTGCTTTTGTGACCAGGACTTTATGTGAAGGAATGACACAAATGCACACGTTTTC